TAAAATAAAATTCCTCGACAACTTTCATTTTTTGTGAGCAAACTTAATGTTTTCTAACCAAACACGCATGCATGTGCGATTGTGGAAAACTTTCTTTGACTTTTTTACGTGCTAGCTTAGCATCTCTTTGCGAATTCCGAAACTAAACATTTTGTAAAAGGTTTTTCTATTTTTTTCCCATCCACTCTAGTTTCGAACGTGCAGAATCATCAACCTTAATCAATTATTCCACATACCACATCGACCTTTTTAATCGTTGCAATTTTCTAAAACAAAGGAGTTCCTAATGTAAACACTACCTTTTTGTAGTAAACTTGTTCGTGGTCTGCACATACACAAACTCTATGATCGTTGATATTCGAAATGCGAATTTAGCGCGCCAATAGTAGGCAATGGCCGTGACGTCTGCTTACTCATCAAAAAACAGCATACGCAGTATCATTAGCCATTTTTGTTTCTCTGTACATCTCTATCACTGATTCATACAAACATGAAACAACTGAGTTCTCCTTGAACTGACAGCAAACCTTCCTACGTATGTTACAAAGAGATTTTAAAAAGAGGGTGACATTTCTTTATGACGCATTGTATTAATCACTTCGAATTGCTGTTATATGTTTGTTGAGCTCGTGTTATTACAGTTTGACTGTAAGTAGGTGTTATAGGTGTATGTTGTAAAATGTATTCGCTGTACACTGGCGTGTTCTGCAAGCGCTCTGTTCACGCGAATCTATTTCGAGCATTCAATGTAAGTCGTCAAGACTCAGACTCGGTCAGCCGAGATTATTAACCCTTGCACCGCTCTATCACAAAACAAACGTAAAGTTGACCTTTATGATGAGACGTTTCGCATCCGCACTTCACTATTTACACCCAACCTTGCTTCAATTTTATTTTTAAACGCATTGCTTTTATTTGATTTCCAAAAATGTACGTATCTCGGCGGGGCGAAGCTGTTGGATCTATTTTAGATTCGTCTGCACGCAATTCAACAACGTCCTATGTTTATATGTACCCGTCAAACGATTTTCAGCTATATTTTGTTGTACATACAGTGCTTTTTTTTTTGTTTTCAATGGATGTAAACAAAAAAATGTACTGAAAATTTTACTTTTCACCGTTGGTACCTTAGTTTATGTGACAAAAACGAGTTATAAAATGTTTTTATATATCATAAATAAGTGGTTTTAAGCCTAAAGTGTGGGGCAACCCAATGCTTGTAAAATGTATAGAGAAAAATTTTGTTTTTCAAAGATTTCGTGTTCGCGTCTCGAGAAGTTCTTTGTACGTAGGTGGTACGTATTGTGGTATTGTTCGCGTGAAGCGTTTGTCTCATTTAGAAATTGCACCATTTGTTCTGTCGGGCAATTAGCACTTTTCGGCAGCTGTCATCGAACCCGCGTGACGGCTTCATGAAGATGTTTAGATTGACGCCGACGACGCGACAACTCGCGGATTCTTACAAAATTTAACGCATTGACAAAGAAAATCATGTCTTAAGATATAAAACAGGAATTCTATTAAGATGTTTACCAACGTCTACACAGTTACCGCACCTATTATTTTTTGTATGTAATATCCGTTTATCCAGATCATTTATTCGCTTTGTTATTTGGTAAAACATTTATGGGGATGTGGCTTGACGAGTGTGCCGTGTTCAAGAAATAAACTTGTAAATTGATCAGGCAGAACTCTCCGCTATAGTAAAATAAAAGAAAGTATAGTTAATTTAGAATGAACTTCAAGAAAATGACTGATCATTCATTATACCACTCATCATTCATCATTCAAGTGTATCTCTGAACCGAAACTGGTGTTAGGACACTGGAAACGGAGCAAGTTCTTATTATTGTGAACCTTATTCATTTGGCTATCACTTCGCATAGTCTGTTTTATATTCACCTATATGGAAACACATGAACCGCTAGAATATCTGGCAAGAAATTGACAAGCTTTGGGTTGGGTTTTGGTGTGATACGCACATACTTTTGGACAGAGCAGATTCTCTTCTTCTCCTCTCTCCTATAGTATAGGTATACTTACCTCTTTTTTGAGGAGAGAGGTAAGTATACCTATACTTACCTCTTTTTTGAGGAGATACATACCAGATTTTCCATACGGAACATGTACTATAACATGTTCCGTATGGAAAATCTGTAACAACAACTTCAGTGAGAAAATGTTTTTCACTCTCATTAATGTAGATATGATACAATCATTAACAATTATAATTAACTCACTGAATTTTAAGAGACTGTCACGCAAATCGTTCATAGGTTAAAGCCCTCTGTGAATTCATTTTGAGAGCTTTTGAGAGAACATTCAGAAATGGCGCAAAAAAATAAAAATTGTCTGACGACTTGTGTCTACAATAATCACAACATAAGTAAAAGATCTCTGACTAGTTTATATGTGATTACAGGCATAATAATATTCGCGTTTTTTTCATCTTTGAATTCAGAAAATGGTCAACCAATAACCAACCAATTAACCGAAAAAAAAAACTGTAAACAAAAAGCTTCACGCAAAAACTTTTTGCAATTTATGGAAATATCAATTGAATGCCACCTCGCCGTACTAAACTGTTGCAAGTTATAATGGAATTCTGAACAGATATATTCTATAAAAAGAAAATAAACATAATCATTCATACCAGACCGAGTTCAATGACCGCTTTCCTTCCTACATTTCTATAACAATCCAATTTTTCACCATTCGATTGCTTTAAAATATATTGCAATCGCCATTTTGCATTCAATCAAACTGCGTTGAACGTAAAAATATCTATTCACTCTACTTGAATCGTTGTCTATGTCTATAAATTATTCTCTATGGAAAAAGACCTTTTCATAATATTTTGTTAAAATCATGATTGGATCAATTTTCATTAGTTTTTTAGCGTTGCCTAAAAAGGTTTAATACATATGTACGGTACTTATCATTGTGTTTATAATTTTTTAAGTGTCTCTAATATCTGACTGTGGAACTTACCTAAGAACCTAAGTAGATATGCAAGTGTGAAGTGAAGCAGGCACTTGCTAGCAAATACATGTTTGGTATGAAAGTTGTCTTCCCTAATACTTTAAAGAGCTTTAAAACTATAAAGAGCTGTCAATTAAAGGACAATGTGCTCACCATTTCTAAATAATAAATAATGGTCAGCTGCTTGAATACCCAGCTTGAGTTCAAAGCGTGTTAAATTCTTACAACAGTAGGTAAAGTCTACTAAGATTTATGAGCCGTTTGATCCTACAAAGCTTTTGGACTTTTTGTACCAGAAACTAGGTCAGGTTTTCTAAGTATACGTATAATAGTGTAATTTACATGTGCCTACCTGATTTACTGTTGCAGGCCCCTACATTGTCTCAAGGAAACGAATGTTTCAGTATGTAGAGCAATGGATGCAATGAATCATACCAATTGTTTACCCTGTGTTTTCTAAATTAAACATTGTTAGTGCGCCCGACCAGAATTAGAAGACGTTAAATAATTTTCAATTTTGAAGTCTACTTACACGCGTTTGCGTGCGAATTCAAAACTAGTTTCTCGCATCGAATGTAAAGTCCGTTACATGTATTTGAAAGCTGTAACAAGACTCGTTTTTGTTGTAAAACGAAAAACCCATTCAAACACACAGACAATTTCCCATCATAAAACATTGTCACAACAAAACCGACAGGGATCATAATTTCTTCATTTCTGTGAAGAGACGAGCATTTCCAATTACAAAATGCTCCATTGTTCCCAAACAAAAGGCCATTCAGAGCGCGAGCGCATGATGTGGACGTGTATCACATTGTCTCGCCACACGACTGGTTCCACGGTTCGACATTATAGTAATTGTTTAAGATTCGAGTTACGACATCGGAAACTTACAATTTCTACTAAGACTTGAATTTTATCGATGTTTTGGCCGTTCCGAACATCACTTTCGAGCTTCAGCGCGACATTTCATGGTACTGCCTACGAAATGGAGAATTATTATTTATTTAGGAATAGCTTCTTGCGCTGTAGGTACTACTGTGGCATTAAACGTCTCATTAAACGTTAGGGAAATAGATGTGAACAGGGTCTTTAGTCGCCAGAATAAAGATAAAAAGACATTTGCGCAACATGTATAAATTTGTGTCAACACAAAAGGTCGGGAATCCTAATTAGCTGTTCACGAAACAGTTGTGCTACATGAGCCATAAAACAGAAAACATTTAAATACAACAACAATTTGCTAGAGGGCTGCCGCCAAAAACAAATACTAGGTTTTAAATAAAATTATAAAATCACATTATTTTGGTACGAAAAAACCGACTTAAAACGCAAGCAAAGCTAAACTTCTTATCGATGGACAGAGAGCCAATGCAAAAAGTAAACTACCTACTTTATCTTTAAATTTTTGATACAACTTGTCATAAACCTGCTGAGATCAAAAGCTTTTCATTTTATGTCCACCTTAATTTCTGGCCTGACATCCTAATGATGACGGGCACTAATAGGTTCACCGCGCGTTATATTTTAAGCCTATTTTTCAAAATTTGCAGGAAAAATCATTTGCACTTAACGATGCAAAATTAAGAGTGCTTTGCGACACAAAATTTCTTTTTAACAGGTCGCGAAGCAAAAATGATGTAATTTTAGAGTAGTGCGTCAGTTGATTTATACGAGCGGTGACAGTTGACGGTGAGCTCGCCTTCACCTTGGTGCGGGAGCTGGTTTATATCAAGAGGATTCTACATTGACAGCGCCCGTGACACCCGCGCTCTGGACTTGTCCAAAATAAACACCTCTAACAATGATACACGAGACGCAATAAAAATATATAAGTGTCGCCATTCGCTGTCTCCCTCATTTGTTAACAAGGTGATATTGGAATTAAAAGATAATCAATTTCACCTGATCGAAATGGCATTGGTGTCGTTTGCTGCAACATACGTCTTTGGGGCAAAGATAAGAGCATGGCGTAAGTTTCAACCAAGGACATTTAACTGAACATGTCGTTGACTTACGGAAGGAATTTGCCTCCTCGTGGTGGTCGTGGTGATGGTTTCCACCGTCTCCTCCACCACCTCCTCCTCGCCCTCCTCCTTGTCGTTCCATGGTCCAAAGAACTCCGACATATTTGCTGTTATATTCTACCTCGCCCACTGCACTGAACTCCAAAAGACCTTTGACACACATTCACTGCACTTCACAGAACGTTCACAAGAAAGCGGTCGGTATCACACATTAATCGCAAAAAGAATTAATCTTATGAGGACTGCTTTAAACTCGCGTTTTGCCTTGTAGATCGGGCTCACCGTGTGGTGTGCCCATACTGTGCTAGAATTTAATCACGGTCCAATATTCGGGAAGCGTCTATAGGAGCGTTTTCTGGCGCTGCACTGCGGAGACGGCCAGAGTTGATGTTGTATAAAATCCTACTGGAAAACTGAAATAACCGGCGCGAACAAAAAGCACCAGCCAAAACATTTCACGTGCGGGCGTATTATTAGTTGGACGATCTAGTCGAAAGAGTTAAGTGTCGCGGTGGCCTTTTACCACAATTATTCCAGATTGATATTGGTATTTTCCGCGTTAATATTTTACAACGCGAAATTACTTCCATTTAATGTAGCCCGGTGGTCCTGTGCATGCTTCACAGGATTTACTTCGACACAAACCGCTATTTAATGTCACTTTTCAGCACTCTGTTAAGCTCACTAACGACAATTTTCGAAACTAATATTCACACACTTGCAGGGTCTGTCTTATTTGCAGTAATTGTGTTTTATGGTGGAATTTCGATCGTGATTCCGACACACTGCGAGAATTGGCTCAACTTCAGGGTTTTTTTATGATATCTAAATTAAAAACAAGTATTTATATCAACGCAAATGTTTGCACTTCGTTATTTTCACCGTTTTTAAATCCCTAGATATTTTAAGTTATAAACGAAACATTATTTTTAATTTCCTTTCAAATGTTTCTATTGCTTGTACAAAGAAAAGAAAACGTAAAATGGCAATAAAATTGAAGGAGAAGACAAATGTTGAGAATTGAACACCGGAGGTGTTTTCTGTAAGTAATAATTTAGAAATAATTGCTAAAATGCTAGTGAAATATAATGTCCTGGCGACGGACTACATTATTGTATGTAGCCATCCAGAACGGCGTCGGCGTAGGTGCTGACAGCTCCTCCACTTAATATAAATACGCGGTTCTCCTAACAGCGCGCGATAAATCTGAAGCATGCTTCGGGGATTAACGCCCGACTAGATATTTTAGCAGCTATATCGTTATCGATAGAGTCCTCTATCGGATGAAGGCGCATCACTAATCCCAAGCTGATACAACAATGTAGATCGTACATAAATTAGAATATGGCTCAAAATCAAATGGAGGGGAGAAAATTATGGGTCATCTCACAAATATTCCAGGTTTTTATGCATGAATTGGCAATTAGATTGAAATCTCTTTCATGTGGAGTGATCACTCGTTGATTTGCAAATTGTTATAACAGGATAGTAACGGGTCGGAAACTCAAGACGTTGATGAGGAAAATACGAATAAATTAATAGAATTGAAAATTTTTGTGCCAAGAAATAGTGCTTGTCACTACTGAGCGGGGAAAGAAATTAAATTCTCTGGCCAAGGTCTAAGGACTGAGAGACGTGTCACTATAAATTAATTTCACATAAAGAATTAGAGAATTAAAAGCATTGTAAAATACGTTAACTGTTTTATGGGTTGATTAGTTGCGTAGTGAATCAATTTGACGATTTAACTGCCTATGATAATCGAGTGAAAAACATTGCTGATGTTTTCAACTGACACAATGTTTGCTGTACATCTACATAATACTAAGATTAGCTCGTGATGTCTCATACAACAAAACAACAAAAATGCAAACAGTTTTCAACAAACTCCTTCGATTTTTAAGTTGTCGCTGCCGAAAATGAGCTTTTGGGTCATTTCCCAGGTAGGCCAATGCCTTTGGTTAGAAACCAGTCTGTCGAATTGTCCTTGGGGCTGTGGCAAGAAATACACTATTACCAATTAGTCATATATGTAGACTAGCTACTTGTCCGCGTTTTCACCCGCTCCATTTGATCGTAACGTGATGTTTTTGGCAATCCGACCAGCGGTTCCAGAGATTACCCCCTACATACAAACTTACAAACATACAAACTTACTAATTTTACCTCTTTATAATATTAGTATAGATTGTTGGACACATTACTTATGTGATAAGTCGGCGAACGAGCTGTCTTATTACCTGATGGTAAGCAATCGGCTACGCCCATGGACACCGCAACACCAGAGGAGTTACGAGGGCGTTGCCGGGTATTGGGGGGTCATGGTTTCCGAGATTCATTGATTAGTTAGAAAAGAATTAGGCCACCGAACCTCGCTTATGCAGTGAAACCAACGCAATGGTTGTTTCACGCCGGTTTACTGGTGCCGAAGCTTGGCTCTCCCACACTTAATATGTGAATTGTTATTTATAACTCCTCATAATGATCCCCTCTGACCTTTCAACTAATCTGTTCGGCCTAGGATAGAACCCTACATAAGTTATTTTCCACAACAATACATAGGAACATATTTGTCAAGTCATACGAATATAATAGGAACAATAATGGAGTATTTCCGAAACTGTGCCATAGCACAATTAATGTAACCTAATTATTAGAACTTCAATTACAGAACTAATGCAAGTATATATTGTTTGTTTGAAACTTACGTAATAAGCAATACAATAATGGTTTTTATAATGACGTAATTAAATAAATGCATTAATATACTGCTCCTTACATACTTAATTGACTTAGTAAAAAAATATACGTCGACTTACCGCTGTACGTAACAACATTTAAAAAACAGACTTTGAATCATTATTTCGATAATTTTACTTATCCCTCCCGACCCCTTATCCCCAAAAGGCTAGCAATGAAGTGTTAAATCCACTTGTGTTGCGGGTATCCGATGCTTACCGTCCGGTAATCCGTGTGCTCGTTTGCTGACTTATCATATAAATAAAACTGTTACGTTCTAAGGAATTTAACAGTTATTTGTTTTTTGAAGACGACACTTATTATAAATAACTAGCAGACCCAGCCACGCGTTGCTGTGGCTAAGGTAAATAATATTGTGACTATAAATTGAGATGTAAGCTATCCTATCTTTCAAGTTGGATCAAAATGCACATTGAATGCAAATCAAATTTAAAATCGGTTTAGTAGTTTAGGATTCCATCGCGGATAAACACGTGACACAATATACTTATATAAAAGATAAATTACCTACCTAGGTATATCTTTGACGCAAAACTTTAGTATAAAATCCACCTGTGTAGGTATAAGTAATTCTAAGAGGTATATTCTACATTAACTTATAATGTGTTAAATTATACAAAAGGAGCTGGAAGGAAAAATCATTCATTGAGATGATAGCTTCGCGATGACTTACACATTTCATTTCCAAAAGGAAGTACCAAGGTACTCACGTGCTCTTTGCATTTCCATCATGGCGTCCACTGCGACCGAACGACGGCAACCAAGGTCACTTACCTGCAATTACAGTCCAAATTAAATGTAATGAATGGCCAGAATTGTCAAAACAATCATTAAAATCTCGTGAGATGTCACATGATTATTTGACACAAACATTGCAACCAATGTTGGTGATTGGTGTCAGTTTGGTGCATTTATCATTAATGTTCATCACGATTGGTTCATAAATAATATTTGTCATTCACTCGTCATCTTGGCGAACATAGTTCTACTAGAACTATAGTTAGCTACTTATAATACTAGAACTATAGGTAGTTAACTACTAATATCATCATGCATGGGGGAGGAGGGGGTCAAAAATGAGAAAAACGACCTCACATAATTAATGACGGCCCCTATACTGTATAAATATTTATTTCATGTATGTATAAGTAGAATATGTGGAGTTGTACGAATGACATTTGCTTATTTAATTTAAAAAAAAAGTGCCACATCATAGACACCGGAAAGTGTATTCAGCCGCAAATAAAAGTGACAGGTGATAAAGAAAGCGCGGGAAACGTCCCTGTCATTGGGCGAGGACACTAGCGCCTCACCTGGCACCGCCCGTGACCCGAACTATAAATACCGGTACACATCCGTTTAAACACTTTAAACTCAGATTACATAATGGGAATGTCACTTGCGTCATCCAAGGCTCTTTGCAACTTCTGATTTTCCCGTATCTTTATAGTGTGACGTCACACTTTCCCAGCTTTCGTCACCTGTCAAACTGTACAGGTGAACTCAAAACTATACGATATTCTTAGAAGTTTGTTAAATAGTTAATGAATGGGTGTTACGGTAACAGCCCGCGAACAGGCTGGCGCGCTTCATAGATTAAGTAATATTTTGATACAACTAAAAATTAAGAAGAAAATTATTTTTTAATAAAATAGAAGTAACGCAGTATTAATTTATGTTTTGAATCTTAGGATAATGTATACTTTAACTGTACGTATTAATAGAAAATATTCAATTATCAAGCAAACAATGAGAATAATTTGTGATCTACAAGCATAAATCTTAACTCGCGTAGCTTCAGCTACGCCGTAGACAAATCGTAGCAGGAAACTACAGGATGCTACGATATTATTTGCTTTATTTAACTTAACCAACAGACAGATAACCACTTTTTGCTTAACAAGCTAGCAGCAGCAGCAGTCTTAATACTTAATAATTTAAAAACATGGCAAAAGGAGAATCCTCTGACCAGATCTTTTTGAAGGAAAAAAAATTTTGGCACCCTGGGTGGTACGTCTGCTTTTCACGGAACACTTCACATGCGCGATATAGGATTTGTGACGTTCTATGTGCATTATATCTACATACATCATTATTGTTATGTTAGTCTTGAGGTACGTGATACATATCACACGTAAACGGTTAAGACGTCATAACTATTTTGTTCAACCAATTGTGAAAGCTTTCCCCATCACTGAGTACAAAGACCTAAGTCAACATGTATGGTAACACCAGTTTAAAACAAATTAACTCCATTATACGGAACGCCGGCGCCGTTGCGAGCTTTATGACATTAAGCCATTTTAAAATATGACAGTTACACAATCAGATCTTAATCTACTTACAAAGACGGATCTCATGACCTCGCCTATTTACAATCGAGATATTTCAATGAATATTTATCAACATTTCTCGTCGTGCGTAGCTGCGCTTGGCTCCTACATATTCAGTATCATCTTATTATCAATAATTGTATTCAGAACGGTTTACTAGGCAACAAATAACGGGGTGGTGATGCAAGATACCTTATAAACGCGGTAACAGTACACACGTGGATAAAAAAGTTTCGACTTTCAAAGGAAATGGAGCGAAAAGGTTTTATTAGTTAAGTTAAGATTTTTGTCACTGAGCTAC